ATGGTCCCGCTGAGTAGAAAAGGGGATGCATTTATCCCAAACGTGACTCTGGTGAATCTATAGACGACGACGTTGTCTTGGGACAAAGGCTTTGTAATATCTTTCAGCCAAAGACATCTCGTGACATCGCGATCATCCTCATGAAGGTACACTTGGAGGAATGCTTTCTCTACGTCAGACAGGAGTACATACTTTCCCACCCGAATCCTCAGCAGGATACCGTATATCTTCGGAAGGATCGTAGGTCCTTGGTGTACAATGTCGTTCAAAGACGGACGTCCTTTGTAATGTGCCGAAGCATCGAACACAACCCTGAACTTGGTTGTGTCTTTGTGGGGAGTAATGACTGGCTGATGAGGAAGGTAATGCTTCCTTTTGATGTCATAGTCCTGGGTCTCGTTTACCTCTTCCAAGATTTGTTTCCGCAACTGGTCTTGGAAGACGTCATGGTACTGTTGGATGACTTGGGGTTGGTCCTTGAACGAACGAAGAACTCCTTCGAGGCGTTTGAAAGCCAATACTTTGTTATCTGAAAGAAATTCGTGCTTCTTCTTGAAAGGAAGTCTGACAAAGTAGCCTTCTTTCCGCTTTTCTATGGAGTTGTTGAATTCCTCAATGACTTCCGCGTTTATCACTTCTTTCTCCTCTTTTTCTGGGCCTGTGAACTCTCTTTCTATTTGATATGCGTCTTCCTTCCAGTGTTGTTCCCAGGGGTCCATTATATCCTCTCCAAAGAGCGTGTTGATTGAGGATGATAACTCTGAGAACTGATGATTTTCCATCATTCTTGTTCCAGATACCGTGTATCCCATCAGTGTCGGGATGAGAAGCAGCCCCGAAGGTAATTTGAAATGAGGGGACTCGAATTTGATGAATCTCCAAAGTTGATCATACCCCAGAATCACCTGCGGTTGAGACATCTTCGCGTTACTGTGTGCGCACAACTTGATGCGTTTTCGTCGTATAAACTCCAGATCTTTTGCGTCAAGAGCTCCCTGCACCTGACTTTTCCGTAAGCACGCTGTGTGTATAGAGTTTCAAATCGTGAGGTGTTCCTTCATTGTCCCATATTCGAAGTTGGGTCCTCATGCACTCTATATTCATGAGGTCTTTCCTTCCAAAAGTAGACACCTTCATCGTGGAAGTCCCATGATCGGGGAGGTTGAGCTCCTGGGCTAGCTTTGCATCTGTGAAGGAGCGATCTGCTCCTGTGTCCAAAACGGCAGTTACCTCCACAAAGTTTCCTGTACGGGGATGCTTTGCGCGTAGAACGCCAGAAAGAAGGAAGATTTGGCAGGTATTTTGACTATCCTGCTCCACGTGCTCCACTGTCAGTACCGTGTTATCCTCACTGGAACAGCTTTCGTTATCCGTGTGCGGGGTTTCGACTTCTCCGAGACATGCTACGTTCTGTCTTGTGATGGGAGGTTTCTTCCTGTCATTCACCTTCATATTCATATTCTGTTGATTTGAGGGTTTTGTATTGGCCTTGAAGCAGATGGATGTGTGGTGTTTCTTCTCACATTTTTGACATCCAGAAGACCTACACTCAGTCAAACGTTGCTGTTTGACGTTGTGACGCTTTGCCGTTGTGACGCTTGGAACCACATCCTGTACACCTATACGAAGCTTTAAGGTGTTCGGCTCTGAAATTTTCGAGCACTGTGTAGACCAATGATTTCTTTCATCACAGTAGAAACAAAACGGGACCTTTCCCGGTTTTTTGAAGTCCGTTGGTCGTTTTCCGTCGCCTGCCGCGTTTAGAATTCGGTGTTGCTGTACCGTGTGAATTGCAGTTATCGCTTTGGATAGGTTGGCTCCTCCAACTGTTGTTCTTCTTGCCTGATGACTTCATCGAGGCTTTGCAATTGTCTCTTCATAGTCCATTCCTCCTCAGCTGTTGAAACTTTCTCCTTTAGAACATGCCTCTGTATGTTCTCCGAAAATTTCGACAATATCTTGGACATCAACCATGGGTTATCCAGGTTTTGGCCTTTAAAAGTGAGCTGGGAGGTGATCGCCATTAGCTGCTCAAGCAGTTTTCGCTGGTCCTTGAGCCTTTCGCTTCTCGCTGTCCACTTTTCCAGTCTACGGTGGAGATCGGTGACGATTTCGCTGGTTTCCATACTTTGCCTTCAAATGATCGATCGCCAGCATGTAATTCGAGGCTGTGACTTGGTACCGTGCTATCGATTCCCTAGCTTCTCCTTTTAAGGATCTAAGCAAGTAATTGAACTTCTGTAAGTCGGATAGGGGTTGCGAATGTACTGTAGAATCATACAGCTCCCAAAAGTTATCCCACTGCCATGCTTTACCAGTAAATTCCGGGACTGCTAATCTCGGAAGTTCGAACTTTGTTGCAGGAACTCTGGCTACCAGGGATTCCCTGCCCTCTCTTGAGGTTGCAATTTCTTGCTTTTTTCCCACGAGGTTCATCAGCAACTCCTCAGTGCGGGAAATGAGCTCTTGGGCCTTTTCGACGTGCTCCAAAACTTTCTCCTCTTCGTCTTGGGTCAAAGGGCCCTCTAAATGATCCACTGCTTCTGTGAATGCGTATAGAGCTCCTTCGAATGTAGCGCACATCTTATTTATTTTTGCTTCAGCCGTAGAGATGTCACCGAGGGCTTTATCCGCATCCAGTTCCATGAACTGATCCAGATCCCCATAGAGAGACAAAAGCTGTGACAGGGTATTGAAGTGCCGAGATAGAACGCCCTTGCGCGTTTTTAGGCTAGTAGTCATTCTAACAGTCCAAAGTCACCTCCGATAACTAACGAGTCCACTGGGTTAGAGTCCACTTTGTTAGTCCACGTGTAGTCAGATTCTCCGCATGCAACGTGGATTAATGCCGGTGTTAGTATAAAGGAAGCGTTCTAAGCCGTTTGGTATGCAATAGAAAACCGCACCTTCACCGACAAATATTCCTCGCAGCTCAGGTCCTTATTGTCGATGCACCATGTAAAAGAGGCTTGCTTCTGTGCCACGCGGATAACTGCTCGATTTATTCGACCAACGAAATCGCACCTCAAACTTGGGTAATTAAACGAATAATAAGAGCAAATAATCTACCATTACATTACAAGAATACGGAATAACGTGGGATACAAAAAGAAGCAGTAAGTGATCAATCTGTGATGATAAATGAGCATAATTCAGCTACAGATGCTAGAGAAGGCATGGAGAATTAGATACTAAGCGAAAGCATGAAAGATGAGTCATGAACCATAAAGGCTAGGTTGCGCCATGCATAGGAGAGATGGGAAAAAACCATAAGTGATGTGGAGTGTGTCACCCTAGAATATTGATTGTCCATTGCAGATGTCATATGTCAGCTTAAAGAACATGAAAAGGAAGTCTTGAACTACAATTAGGGATAAGCCACGCACTAGAAACGATGTGTGTAAAGCATGAACATTACATCTTGAACTAAGTTCTTGGAAGAGGCCATAACTAGAGAGAGGGAGTACATAAAGCAGGATTAAGAAAGCATGAACTAAGGACTTAGGATAAGTCATGAACTAGACAGGAGGAAAAAATGATGCATGAATAAGAGCAGGAATTGAGAACATGAGATAAGCCATGAACTCAAGAAAGGAGGAAAAAGGCAAAAGAAGAGAAGGGAAGGCCATAAGGCATATCATGCACTGGACCC